GGGGAGAGATATGGAGAGAGAGAGAGATGGGGAGAGAGAGAGAGCATGAGAAGGAAGAGAAGAGAAGAGACTGCTTCAGGGAGGTTGAGAATCTGTCCCTTCTCTCTCTCCCAAGGTCAAGCCAAGGTCCCTGTCTTCCCAGAGAGTGAGCCAGAGTCCAGGTCTCGGCCTTGAGGTCATTTTCTTTGGGAGCCCCCAGCTGTCTGACCAATGAGCACCAAGAACCTCCAACAGAGATACAGTAAACACGGGCAGTTATTGGGCCAAGCAAGAACCTAAAGGAACATCATACACACACACATACACACACACACACACACACCCTTTTCATTGAGTCGATTCTGACTGATAGTTACCCTAGACGGGCTTTCTGAGGCTGCACATCTTTATGGGCTCAGTTTCAGCTCTCTCCTGGGTTTGAACCACCAGTCTTATGATTAGTAGTCCAATGCTTACCCAACGCCATCACCAAGGCTCCTTAGAGGAACATCGAAAACCAAAACCCAACTCACTGACACTGAGACGATTCTGACTCATAGTGACTCTATGGGCCAGAATAGAATTACCCCAGAGAGTTTCTGAGACTAACTCTTTAGGAGAGTAGAAAGCCTGGTCATTCTCCCTTGGAGTGGCTGGTGGTTTCGAACTGCTGACTTGACGACCGGCAGCCCAAAGAGTAACCACACCAAGAAGAGTAAAAAACACCAGAGAAGAGAAGGAAGTGAGAAGGGTAGACCCCTTCCTCTGGAATTGGCAACAGAGAGTTGTCAGTAAGTGGGAGACTGACTCTTAGGAATTGACACGAGGTGGGCTTTCTCCCTCTGCCATCCCCACACCTGCCCTGGTAAGATGGCAGCTCATAGTCCACATCCTCTTTGGTTTGTTGAGGACTAAGGTCGGTCGGAGCCGGCAGAGGCGTTGGTTCTATCCTAGACCTGGAGAGGACCTGGCTTCCCTACCTGTGTTGCTTCCTTGGAAGATGCTGATGGCCATGTTCTGTGGAGCATCTGTGACAAAAGATGTAGCAGCCTCATCATCCATGATGAAAAAATAGGTAGGCATTGGGTTTTTCCCCAGGAAAATAGGTAAGGAGGCTCCTCCTGGTTGATTACTAAGTCCCAGACGTCAAGCCCTGGCCCAGTGACCACCCTGGTTCCGCACCCTCAGAGACCCAGGTGTCCCCAGCAAGCACTCACAGGAGACATTGAGCCGGACAGTCCTCTTAATGGTCACGTCAACTGCAGGGAAGGTCACCTGACAGGTGAGGCTGGTGCCGTGGTCCTGGGGTCTGGGGGAGATGGTGAGCACTGAGGATAAGTGGGTTCTGGGGCCCACAGAGGTCAGGGCAGCTGAGTTCCAGGAGAAGATGGGGGGTGTCCCCTGCTCACAGGCCCAGGCCACAGTACAGGACAGGTTCCTGGGGTTGCCAGACTCCAGGATGTCTGGGACTTGGATGTTGGGTAACTGAGACAAGGCTGGGAAGGAAAGATGGATGATCAGAGCCTCTCAGACTGTTGTCAGCCATCCCAGGGTCTTGTCATCACCGTTCCCACCCCCATGAGGTGCAGAATCATATTTCCCCCCTCCTTTTGGTGCACTACGTGCCTACGGCCTTTACTTGAGCTTCCACCTACCTGTCACCTTCACTGAGAGCAACTTGTCTTCATATGTGTGTTCCCTATGGTGTCTTTTCACATGAAAAACATATGTCCCACTGTCTGCCATGTTGGCGTCTCTGATGGTCAGGGAGCAATTGTTCCAGGGGTCCCCAAGGAGAAGGAATCTTCCCTGAGCTCCCTTCTTCAGCTTCGCTCCTTCTTTGTTTGTGGCCACTGGAAGACCATACTTTCCATGTGCCTCTTTCTGGAACCAATACAGGTTTGAGGCAGGTAAATAGTGAGGCCAGGGAGGAGAAAATTTGCACAGCACAAGGACACACAGACCCTCCTGCAGGATCACAGATTCCTGTAGTTCCAGCTGAGGTATCCGATTCTGAGCCAGAGTCCCTGGGGTTGGAGAGATGGAGGGGGAATCTCAACTTCAAGCTCCAGCACCTCCCCTGAGCGGAACCCCTCACTCCCTCAGCCCACTCACCTCTCCACAGCAGAGGCAGCAGCAGCAGCAGTGTCGGCAGCATCCCGGCCCCCCAGAGAGAGACCGTCTGCTTGCTGGAGTGTCTCTGAAAGGGAAGGGAAAGGTACAGCTGTAAGAGGCAGGAAGACAGCGGTCATGATAAAATGTAAAGTGAGACCAAAAAAGAAAACCCCACAGAAGAGGAAACTCAGACTCTTGGGGCGTCGGATGAAACTGATCATGGGAGCCGATCCAATCCCACTCCTGCGCATCACAGATAAATCCTCAGGTTCAGAGGCGGCGAGAGGCAGCCAGGAAAGGTGAGAGCTTGAGTCCTGCCTCCTGGTCTTACCCACGAGAATTTGTTCTGGGGAAACATGTACGACTGGCCAGGAGTCTGGTAGTCACTGTCTCAGAACTGTGCTCAAGGTCAGCCTACCAGGGCTGGGACTCTGGGTGCCTTCTCTTAGAGACGCACAAGAAGGGTTCAGGGGAGGTAGGGGAAGCAACACCTCACACATTTCACGCATTCCTTCAAAAAACGAGGGCTTGTTATGCACTGACTTGTTTTCTCCCAAAAGATATCTTGAATCACTCACCCTTGTTCTCTTGAGAATGGGCTCTGGTAGTGACATCATCTGGTGTCAACTTGAGACTATGAAGAGTGAATGGGGTGGAGGTTAGCCTGTCAATCAGGTTGCAGCTTGATGACCTCATTTGAAGGTGCTAGGGAGATAAATAGCTTGCTGGAGGCCAGGCCCTACACTCTCTGCTTTGTGTTCCTGATGACAAGCCACAAGGAGCTACACTGATGGAGCCAGAGCCCTAGAGCTGGAGGACCTTTGCCAGCTGAGATGCTTCCACCTCCACTGGATCCACAAGACTTTCCACCCACTGGCCTGTGATCCTCCTGCATTCGGCATCATTGCATGTATTTCGTGAGCCTGAAGAGGACTTTATAAATTGGTATAGGACATATGAGCTAATATTGGACTGATGGACTTGATCTGGTCTGGGCTGGGATGTTTCCTCAATATTCAATTGCTCTTGTAGAGAAAGCTCTTTCTTATACATCTGAGAGCGCCCATGGATTTGTTACTCTAGGCTACCAGACTAACACAAGAGGCAAGTAACAGAATCTCTCTCAGAGCCTCACAAGGAATCAAAGTGGCCAACCGCCTGGTTTGGGATTTCCTGTGAAACAGCACAGCTGTTATTTTAAGCCACACAGTTTTTTGTACTTGATTACAGCAGCCCCGGACGCTCATGCAGCCTCTCTCTGGGGCTTTTTCCTGGGGGATCCTTTGCTATTCACTGTCCTCAGAGACAGTGCCATCCGCCTAAACCTAGACTTCACTGAAGATCTCTTCATCCAAAGGGAGGATGTCCCACTTGTTATGGAACATCTGGTCCACTGACAGAATAACTGTGAGCCCTTGGGTCTCAAGGGGAGCCTTGATGGCACCGTGGTCTAGATGTTGGGCTGCTGACCTCCTTGTCAGTGGTTCAAACCAACCAGCCACTCTTCAGAGGAAAGATGAGGCTATTGGTGCCCATAAAGAGTTACAGTCTTATAAACTCTATATAAGGTTGCAATGATTTGGAAATCGACTTGCTGGTGGTAGTGGGGTTGTGGGGTGTGTGTGTCTGTGTGTGTGTGTTTGCTTGTTTGTTTTGTAGTTTCTCAGGGGACTGAATTGGCCCTGGGGCCTCTCTTAACTTTGTATGTTTGGGATTTTTTTAGGTCAATTATGTGCGAAAGAGATTTCGTGAGCCTAATAACTGAGCACAGTGTGTGGTCCTGGATGATATCTTGGTTTGGACAAACGTTGTAAAGGACATTTGAGGATGAATTGGGAAAATCTGAAGATGTTTGAATGTGGACAGGGGATTCAATGAGATGAAAGTTTAAGATGGAAATTCAAGATCATTCGTTTTTCTAAAAAGCAGGTAACAAACCCACATGTGCTAGACAGTCACATTATTTTGAACAGTCTCTATGTTTCTGGAGGGAAAAGATGTGAAGGGAGACACACGAAGGGATTAACAGTGATGGTGTTTGAGTGGTGAGACTATGACTTGTTGTCGTTGCTGTTGACCCACATGTTCTATTTTGTATACAGCGCATGTCTCTGTCATCATAGTAACCTGCTACCATTGAGTCGATTCCAACACACGGTGACTACACCTATTCCAGAGAAGAACTGCTCCATTGGGTTTTCCAGGCTGTGCTTGTTATGGAAGCAGGTCGTCCTGTGTGGTAGTCTTTGGTGATGCCTCAGGGTTCGCTTAAGCCTCCATCCTTCATGCTAGAAGTCAAACACAAACTGCTTACACCACCCAAGGGACCTATGTAAGAACAACAGAAAAGTGGGTGAAGGGAAATGTCAGACAGTGTACGATATGACAAAATAGTAATAATTTCTAAATTATCAAGGGTTCATGAGGGAGGGCGGAGGGGGAGGGAGGGGGGAATGAGGAGATGATATTAAGGGCTCAAGTGGAGAGCAAATGTTTTGAGAATGATGATGGCAACAAATGTACAAACGTGCTTGACACAATGGATGGATGGATGGATTGTGATAAGAATTGTACGAGCCCCCAATAAAATGATTTTAAAATATATATCTTCTTGGTACAATTGATGTATGGATTGTTATAAGAGCCCCCAATGAAATGATCTTAAAAACAAAACAAAAGAGTAACTATAATAAGCTATCACAAATACAATTGCTGACGGCCGATGTTGACAACTCAGGAAACTCCACTCTCCCAGACCTTTACATGATCTGCTGGTGGCTACTGGGAGATGATGGTTTCTCGTGGCCACCTCCAGAATTTGAAGGTGTAGAGCTGACTGTAGTCCATCGAGAAAACCCCGGGCTTGGGCTGGAGAAAGGGGAGGTACAGGATGCATGAATGGTACCTCCATCATCCTCTGCTGGGAGACAGAGCTCTGACTGCAGCCTCAACCAGCTCCTTCCTCACAGTTGGGCCAACAGGGGCAGCAGTAGCATCTCTGGGCTGAAGTGAATAGTCTAGACTTCCCTGGCTCCGTCTGATGAGCCTGTCCCATTTTGGAAGTGGAAGGCAATTGTGATGTGAGATGAGGGTTGGGGGCTCTTCTTGGATTGAAATGGATAACTTTTGTTCCAAATTCAGGCGTGGCTGCTGGAGGGTTTGTGGGTCGCTGTCTCGTGGTTCTGGGAGTCAGAAATCTAAAACCAGAGTGTGAGCTATGTCCATCATTTCTAAGGGCTTTGAGAGAAAAACGGTTCCATGTCTCTGTCCCAGCTTCTAGTGATTGCTGACTGTGTTAGTCTGGGTAGACTAGAGAAACAATACTGTGTTAGTCTGGGTAGACTAGAGGGAGGAGACGAGCCAATCAGGGTGCAGGGTAGCAACGATGAAACATATAACTTTCCTCTAGTTCTTAAATGCTTCCCCCCTTACCCCCCACTATCATGATCCCAATTCTACCTTACAAATCTGGCTAGACCAGAGGATGTAC